GTCACTGATATCCTCTGTGACAATCTGGGGCTGGAGGAAGTGGCAGGGGGAGGGGGTTGAGAGTCTGGGATGTAGGGTAGGGGAAGAGGAGAGGGGATGGAAGTAAGAAATAGCTTCTTTCCTTTCAGTGTACAATAGGCAAGTGCTCCATGCTGCGTCCCTGGGTGAACATGACTCCTGCCACCAGCAGCAAAGTGTCTAGAGCATTGAGAAAAGCCTCTTACAGGGACGCTTGGGTAGTTTTACAAAGGGAGGGAGGCAGCAGGGCCTAGTAGTGAAAGCACAGGACTGGGAGGCAGGAGACCAGGGTTCTGTTCCCAGACTTGCTGTGTGACCTTGAGCAAGTCACTTAGGCACTCTGTGCCTCTGTTTCCCCATCTGCTAAATGGGAACAATAACAATTCTATATATGCCAGTGGTGCTACATTCCTTGCTGTCTGTAAAGTTCTTTGAGAGCCTCAGATAGAAGGCACTAAGGGTTTTTCTTACTTCAGAGAGACTGACTGATCCATGAAGCTTGGGGATAGGTGGAGAGTCCCACCAGCGTCTTGATCCTGTGATGCGCTCACCTCTTGTAATTTTCTCTCCTCCGCTTCAGTGGGAGTAGCAGGTGTCAGCACTTCTCCTAGCCTCGGGCCCCACATCCACACACATCTCTCTGTTCGCTTGGGCTCCACCCTCGCATGATGTAGGTAACTCTAGAAGCCAGGAAAACATTGGATTTAGTAGGGAATGTTTTCTAAAGCCCTCAGGAATGCTGGAGTCCAGGCCAAGGATAAGGTTCTGTGCATTGCAAGGGACCAGCTCCTTATCCAAGAGCCTCAGCCAGTGCTCCTGCTTGAGGGAGCATCTAGAAGAAACCCGAGATCTCTTTCCACCCACTCCACCCCAAATACAGATTCTCACCCCCACTCTTAGTTCCATGCGTGCCAGGAGAATCCCACTGCCAGCCCCAGGGAGGTGTTAGCATTACAAATAAAAGACTAGAACGGCCCCCTCTTGTTCTGAATTAACGCTAAAACATGGTGTATTGTGTAGGTGAGGGAAAGCCCAAGTATTGCTTGGAATGCTGCCAGGGACAGTTACTGCCTTTGGGGTGATTTTAAGAAGCCGCTTTGCTTTCCAAAAACTTAAGACTTGCTGTAGCTGCACGTTCTAGGGCTGGGTTTTGTATCCCTGAAAGTTCGGAGGTGTTGGGGCCTGATGTCCTCAGCTCAAGGCTGTCTCCCCAGTTCCCTTTCAAACCCTGGGATTGCTCAATAGCTGTGAGCAATGATGTTTGGGAGGAAATAAGGTTTATGTGGAAAGAGGTTTATGAAGGGACAGAGCAGAAAATGGTAAAAGTTTTGCTCAGCTAGGACCCTGTCAAGCAAAGCACGTAAGTGTGATGTTAAAGTGAAGCACAAGAATAGTTTAAATGACTTCAACGGGACGACTCGTGTGCTTAAAGTTAAGCATGTGCTTAGGTGCTTTGTTGTGGGACATATGGGGAGCATGTCTCCTCCCTAGAGGTGGTTGGGGCATACAAACTTGAGGCAAGGGTGACTCTGTCCCTTTCAGTGAATCTCCCCGTGCACACTTCCCAGCCCCCTGTGTCACTTGCCTGTGCTTTCCCCAGCAGAGCCAGCAAAGGATCTGCAGGCAGGCAAGTGCTGGTGGGGGCAAGAGGAGGGGGAGCATTGCTAGGAGAGTGCCAGCCAGCAAGTGCCAGCCTGCTTTAGCTATGATGTCACCTCGAACGCTCCTGGCTCCTAAAGAGAGTTTCGAGTTGTATAGGCCAATAATGAACATGAGCAAAGTAGAGGGGCCGGGGGCGGGGAGGCAGGCATTGATTCCCAGCCTGTACTCCAGGGGGAAGGGCGCACACCTTGCTCCAGGATGAAAAACCCCCGTTTTTGTGCTATTAAGACTTCCTAAGCCTTTTGAGTGAACAAAGGATTATGGGCCCACGCCTGGCCCTGGTACGGCTACGCATTCATTGCAAGACTAGACCTCCCCACACATACACCCTCCAAATGAAAATACAGGAGATCGGTTGTTTTCCTTCCCTTGGCACCGATGACTGATAGAAGGAAAGGTCTCTCTGGGAGGGAGCAACAGGTAGCCCTTCTGCCTGGCTGCCCATTGTGCTGCATTGTCCACTGAACCTCTTCTGCAGTCTCCAGATGTAGGCTCTTTGTACTCAAATCCCACTCTGCCTCATGATTTATGCTTCCTGGTGAGATTGATGTGGCCGGGGAGGGAGCGGGAGTAACCAGAGCTTGTGTGCACCTGTGCCGAGCGTCTTTCTTTCACTCTGATTTAATATCCCAATTGAGGGGGGTGATGTCATGTTTGAAAGAACCGGGGAGGAGGAAGTGTTGGAAGGTGCTTTAACTCTTCATATCCCAAGTCTCCAAAGTCTTGGTAGCTGTTCTTGGTGATAAGTGCCAGCAACACAGGGAAGCTTAAGTGGCCAGAGGGGAGATATTGCAGGTTGGAGATCAATTTCTCTTCCAATATAGTGGCTTCCTTGGGCAAGTACAACTGGGCTGCCTGCTGTGTGGCTGTGTTGGGAAAAGGCATTGTTCTTCAAAGGACTCAAAGTGAGGGCCAATGGCAAGGAGATTGGTGTCCGTCCAAAGCAACTTGGGGTTCCCGTGGCATGGAAGATGAGGCATCTCCCTTGTTTGGAGGACTGAGGACCTCTTCCCCATCTGAGCAGAGATAGGGCCCAGGACTTGGGCATTCAGTCTATGAGACCTGGCTGCTGCTGCTATCAGACACTGTCTGCTCGAGGGCTAAGCACCGCAGAGACCATTGTGTCAACCCCTCTCCCACTTTACCCCAGAGCACTGGAGATTTGGTTTCAGCCTAGTCAGGACTCATCAGAGCCCCACATTGGGATCCAGTAAGGTAAGGATGGGGACTCTCAGGGGGGTTTGCTGTGAAGTTGGCAGGACCCTGCTGAGTATGACCTGGGGGAGGGGACCATGTTTCAGCCTCTTCCATCCCCCTAGAGGGGGAGGGGTTGGGTGGAAGGTCGTTAAGTGAACTTCAGTAGACGTTTTAGTTCAGTTATGGAAATGGGCTGGGTTCAAGGGCAGGGATTCTTATTTTACCTGAACTCGTCTCTATAGAAACAGAACCAGTCCCTATAGAAACAATGGCTGGGAGCTTCAGCGGGACCTAATGGATTTAGACTAGGGTGACCAGATAGCAAGTGTGAAAAATCAGGACAGGGGGTGGGGGGTAATAGATGCCTATATAAGAAAAAGCTCCCAAATTCGGGACTGTCCCTATCAAATCGGGACATCTGGTCACCCTATTTTAGACATCCAGATTTCTCTGAAAGTCAATGGGAGTCAGGAACTTTGTTCAGCCTCTGTGAAACTCCCAGTCTGTATTACACTATCTATAGTCCCTAGTATCGAAAGCACAGAGTGGGGACGTACACCACTTGGGACCCTTCGTATTGACACGAGCGCTCGGCTTGGTAACCTAGACCAGATGTAGTTCTCGCTAAGGGTTGCTAGGCCTAACTCTGTGTGTGGAGAAAGGAGTCGGTGGGTGTTAGGAATCTCCCTCAATAATGCAGGTCTCTTGCATGTATAACAAGTTAAAGCAGTGCAAGGAAGGACCATGTTGTGTGCTCCTTTCGGTAAATCCTGCATTTGGCTATGCTGTGGCCTAGCAGAGGTGTGGAGGCAGGAAACCTGAGTTCCCATTCCTGGCTCTGCCACTGGTCTAGGGCAAGTCGCTTCACCTCTCTGAGCCTCAGGATCCCCATCTGCAAAATGAACTAATGCTGTTACCTAATTGCATGGGGAGGTGAGGATTTTTACAGGTTCATACAGCGCTTGGAGATCCCTGGCTGGAAAGTGCAACAAGATTCTCTGCCCTGTTTCACCATTCCTGCTGTGTGAGCATGGCTATAATTTTCAGACTCAGAAGAGCTGCTCTGTATTTGGACTAGAGTTCTCAGAATTCTAGCTTCACTTGTCATCCCCTACCTGCTTCTGCCACCCCATAGCTATTCCTCTGAATCTGGTGTTTGGGGCCGTCTGAGCAAAACAGACACAAACAGGTTTGCAGCCTGCGCTGGCGCAGTGAATCGGACACTTCTTGCTATCACGTTTAGCAACATCTGACCATGAAAAATTGCTCAGGAATCTGTTTAAAAAAAGTCAGATTCCACCCTCTCTGTCCAAATACTTTCTGCATCCCAGCCGCCCACCTCCCTCCTCCTCTGCGTGCGGACTCATTTTTCTAATTAGCACTGTACACAGGGCTGCATAATCAGGCAGGCATTCATTTAGGAAAGAGACAGGAGGCGCTGTGTGTTTGGAGGAGGGGGGGTAAATGCCACTTAAAACACTGCGTGACTCTGACGCTGATCCTGCTCAAGTACAAAGGCCTGCAGCTATTTGTGCTCTGATCCTGTCAAAAACCGCAAGCTAAGCAGGGTCAGACTGGTTAGATTGAAGACCTCCAAAGAACACCTAAGTTCTGCAGCGAGCAGTTGCCATGTTCCCTAGCTGACTCTCTTCCCTTGAGCCACTGCCCAGTACAGTGCTAGCAAACCACTGCGCTTGCTGTCATTTGGATCAGATCTAAAATCCCGGCACTGACCACTTGTAGTCACTAAAAATCCCATGGAAGTATTTATACGAGAAAGAGGATTAGCCCTGGGGTCCTGGCCAAATTCTAACATAGGTTATTTAGTTCTGCCTCCCCCCAGCCTCCCCTGCACTTTCGGTATATTTTATTTATCTATAAGTTGACACTGATGCCCATCATTAAGCTACTTGGTTGCCTACAATCAGTTAAACACCAGTCTCTTATGGGGCTGGCTTGATTATAATTGACTATCGGTATCTTCTTCCAGTTTTATTCTAGCACCAAGAATCCTTAACCATGATCAGAACCCCATTGTGCCAGGCACTTTACAGACACACAATGAGAGACCACCTCCATCCTGGAGAGTTTACATAGTCTAAATCTTCTCCTTCTGTCTGCAGGGGGCTTTGCCACCTTCTCGTCTTGCTTCCCAGGACTCTGCGAAGGGAAACCAGCTGCCATCTTGCCAATGAGCATCTCCCAGCCGTGCTTGCCAGTGGCCAATGTTGGCCCCACCCGCATCCTGCCTCATCTCTACCTGGGCTCCCAGAAAGATGTCCTAAACAAGGTACGGCCTTGCTGGTGGGGAGACGTGCCTGCCCCACGCTGCCGTTGCCCCTTACCAATTGGAACAGGCCTATCCGGTCGGGGTGGCACGTGGGAGAAGCTCGTTGTATGTTTCGCATTTGAGGACAATGCACGTGTAACTTTCAATGACTTGTCCTGCCCAGTTTGGAGTGAATAAGGAGCTAAGGACACGGCCCATACATACAAAGGCCTGGGGGGGCTGTGGAGAGCATCCGCAGGAGGAGCCTTGCAGAGTTCTTGGCTGGCAGGGGTGTTGTCCTGCTGTGGTTTGATTCAGTCCAGAAGGGATGTGTGAGGAAGGACCGGCCTTCCCTCTGCAACCTGAGGGGAGCTGCCTAATTCCCCTAACTGCCATGCTCCAAGGTGGCAAAGGGTGAGGGAGCATGGCCAAGAATATGCGTGTAGAAAAGACTTAAGCTCTTTGGGCTTGGTGAGTGGCATCCAATCCAGGAAGGGGCAGGAGAGCTGGAAGGGCAGAGAGGAGCAATGGGGGAAGAGACAGAAGGGGCACAATGGAGCTGGGAAGGGGGGAAGAAGAAGAGCTGCCAGGGTGCCTCACCCCAAGGGAGCCCCTGCGAGATTCACATCGAGGGAGCCAGCTTCTCCCCACTAATCCCCCCTGCCAGCTGGGCTGCCAACGTTGACTTCAGCTGCTCCAGGCCCAGCTTGACAGCCAGAGGGAGAGGAGGGGTTAAGCTGGGATGTTTAATCATGGGGGGGGGGAGTGGGGAAGGGGCCAGCAGCCACAGTCCAAGGCAAAGAGCTCTTTAAAGAGGCCTGGAAATAGACAAAGATTTGCTTCGGGAAGAGAAGAGCGGAGGGAAAAGAGGGGTACTGTCCTTTTAAAGGTGCTGGAATGCTTGGGCAGTGATGTCACCTTGGGGAAGGAATCTTGTTTTAAGAGAAGAAAAAAATAAATGAGAGAAGAAAGAAACAGAAATTGTAGTTAAAATTCCGCTGGGCGCCTACTGTGGGCAGGAGGGAGCCAGTCAGACATTCTCGCCTGGGGAGAGGGCCAGGGGAGAAGCATCTGACAGGAGTATGGGGGTGGACCAGAAAGAGGAGAGAGAAATTTTTATATACAGGGAGTAGAAGGAAATGAAAGAGAAAAATGCCAAGAATGTGAGCTCAGGAACTGGGCTGGCTCCTCGGAGCTGAGGTTAGGCTTCTAGGGAGCCTGCTGAGGAAGAGACTCTTATGTAAGCTTAGTTAGGACAGGAACCACGGGGTGAATTAAATGGAATTCAGGGAGGAAATCTCGGCCGTGTCCCCTGAGAGCCCTACATCAGGCGTCGGACTGACGAGGCTTCAACCCTGCCCCCCCCACCCCATCTCAGCACGAGCTTTTGCTCACCCCTTTGTTCTGAGAGGTGTTTGCTTCCCTCTCTGCGCAGTGGGTCATTATTGAAGACAAGAGTCACTCGCTCCTCATAACCTAGAGAGCAGGGCTGGCAGAGAACAACCCTCTGTGATGGGATAGCAGGGTCCCTTGTGAGCACGCAAACCTAGGGTGTCCATATTTCCCAAAGAGAAAACTGGACACCCCCAACCGCTTGCCCAAGTCCCCCCCCCCCCCCCCCCATGCTGTTGCCAGTCGCTCGAAACCCCCCACCCCCACACCAGGCTGTTGCCCGATTGCTGGAATCCAGCGGGGGACCCCACATGCTGGAATGCTGCTCCCCCCCAGGCCTGCCTCCTCCCTCTCTGCTCGCCCCCTCTGCACCACACCCCACTTTTTTGACAAAAGCGGACATTTATCCTGTTTGCTCTTGCCAGCTGATCAAGTCAGCAAGAGCAAATGGGACAAATGCCTCCTTTTGGGGGAAAAAAAGTCTGGATGGCCGGGACAGGGCTTAAAAAAGGGACTGTTCCCGCCAAAATAGGACGTATGGTCACCCTACGCAAACCCCATATGGCAGCTCTGCACCTCACTGCTGCCATGCCACAGGGCTCAGCCTGGGGTAGGGAGGAGGTTTCTTTTCTCTCTCCATTTTCCTAATCACGGTCTATTTTATGGCACCTTTATTTCTTTCTCAACTCCTTCCTTCCATTCAATTCTCTGTTCCTCTTCCTCGCCCCAAAATAGCACAGAACAGGCGTTCATAGGACTAGAACTATCGGATTTTTGGTATGGATGATCTCCCTTGTTTTGGACATAATCTGGCTTGGATTTCTGCTCTCAGGGGGAACAACGGGTCATATTCACCACTACGCTCTGGCTGTTTTATGCTGCTCTGGCCATGCACACTGGTGAATCTAGCCTTGTCTCTGGGAAGGATGAGAGGTCACATACGTGTGCCCAATGAGCAGAACATGGCAAGAAATGATCCATGAACACTCACTTGACATTTTGAACTAGCCCTCTGACTTTTTCATTCACTTTCCGTAAGCATGCAGGCGAGTCAGGTTACTGGCAGGAACGTTGGGAAGAAGTGGTGACTAGTAATGACTATGGCAGAACACTCATGGAAAGCTACTTCTCAATTGGTTAGTCCAAAGAGTTCGCTCTAGAGCCATGATTATATTCATCCCAAAAGGAAATCACATGACCTAAATGTGTCCCAAACAAAACAGCTCATGTTCTGAATTGCCAGTCTCCTATGCTGGGAATGATACCAGCAGCAAACAGTTTACAGGTCTCTTATAGACTGAAACTGGCTCCGGTAAACCACGGAGTGGAGAGTTTCAAACAGTGAACAAATCTGTGGAAAATCATGACTTGTTCCCAAGTGATTTGGGAACAGAAAAGAGGACTACATTCAATGAATACTAGCTCTGCTAGTAAGATGTTCTCTTCACCTGAACCTGGCCCCTCTAAGCTTTCTTCTACAGTAGATGTAACCCTTGACTATTTTGTTTTTCTTCCTTAAAATTTCCCACCATTGTTCTAGCTCTGGGGTTCTCAGTCTTTCCCCTACTAGGACCCCCCCAAGCACACTCCCTGCTAGCTAGCCAGGACCCACTTCTCTTTACCAGTATGGGAAGGGCAAGGTGGTCAGCACCCCCAACACCTGATCAGGACCCCAAATGTGAGAACCTAGCACAGTGCAATGGTGGAAGAACTAGTGCAGAGAGACTGCAGACAGCTTAACCATGCTCAGAGCAGGTCCATATGACAGTGGTTTACTCCTCATTGGCTCATCTGGGCTGGTGCTCCCCAAAGTTGCTACTTTGAACTGCACTAGAGTAACCGTGGGGAACTGCAAGGCGAGAACGCTGAGTGCGTGAGGCCTATGAGAGTGTAGATGGGAAGGTCCAGCTTTGTACTGACTGAGCCCACGTCACTTGTATCTTCTGTCACCAGGACCTGATGACTCAGAATGGAATAAGCTACGTCCTCAATGCCAGCAACTCCTGCCCCAAGCCAGACTTCATCTGTGACAGTCACTTCATGCGCATTCCTGTCAATGACAACTACTGTGAGAAGCTGCTTCCCTGGCTGGACAAGTCCATTGAGTTCATCGGTGAGGCATCTCCCTGGCTCTCTGGGCCTTTATTTACTTCTTCCAGCTTGTAGAGGAGCGGACTCACCCCTGCGGCACCTCCTGCTGGTCTCTTCAGGGAATTAGCTCTTCCAGCACCTTGGTGCACCACCTGCAGGCCGGTGATCCGCCTGTCCTCTGGCCCCTGTGTCCCGCCCTGGGCCCTGGTGCCCTTTTATCTGGGGTGCTGCCCCCTGGCAGTACACCCCTCAGTACTAGGGTCTCCCCTCCCTGGGGAACCCCCACCCACTATCCCTACCTCACCTCAGAATAAGGCCACTGCTAGTCATCATCTAGCCCCACATCCTGGGGCAGACTGCAGTATCAGCCTACTCATCACTGGCAAGGTTGGGTTTGGACCTGCTGCCTTGGCCTGCCCCTGGGTTGCCCTCTGCAACCCCCAGTACCCCTTGGCCTCCTACTAGGCTGCAGCCTGGGGCTTTCCAGGCTGGAGCTCCCCAGCCTGTCCCCAGCCCTGCTCCCCACCCAGGTACTCTGTCTCTAGCTCGCTGCAGCCAGGCCCTTCTCCCTCTGAAGGCAGAGAGAGACTGTTTGGCCTCTGGCTCCCAGCCTTTTTATACAGGCCAGCTGTGGCCTGATTGGGGCGTGGCCCAGCTGCGGCCGCTTCCCCAATCAGCCTTGTAGCTTTTCCTTTGCCCCAGCCCTGCTCCCTGGCTGTTTTAAGCCCTTCAGGGCAGGAGCGGGGGACCACCCCGCTACACAGCTCCAGTCTTGATTTTGCAGTAGTGGCCCCAGACACTGAGAGCTGGACTCTTCACTCCTTGCCTATCCCAGCCAACAAAACTCAAGCTTTTCTTCCCCCAACTCCTCTCTTCATCCAGAGAGCCCTTGTCCCTTCACCCACAGTGAAACATGCACACTCAGCCACTAATGGAGATATCCCATCTCCGAGAACTGGAAGGGACCTTGAAAGGTCATCAAGTCCAGCCCCCTGCCTTCACTAGCAGGACCAAGTACTGATTTTGCCCCAGATCCCTAAGTGGCCCCCTCAAGGATTGAACTCACAACCCGGGGTTTAGCAGGCCAATGCTCAAACCACTGAGCTATCCCTCCCCTCTACTAGGAGAAGCCTTTCCTCCCCTAGAAAACATGGCACCTCGACCAGCATCAAAGTCATTTGAAAGTGTGACCTTTGCCACAGCCAGCTAGTTGTGCAAATGATAATACTTTGCACTCCTGTAAGACATCCTTTTATCTGAGGGTCTCAGTGAGAAACAAAGGCCAGTGTCCTTATGTCCATGTTATATATGGGGAAATGGGGACACCGAGAGGCGCAGAGACTAGCCCAGGGTCACATAACGAGTCACTGGCAAAGCCAGGGGGAGAACCCAGGAGTCCTGCCTCCCACTTCTCTGCGTTGGCCACTAGACATACAGCCTCACAAAGATGTTCCATGGGGACAGAGGATGAAATGACTCTGTCCAACCTCTAGGGGCACCCCTCTGAAAGCTGTTCTTTCTGTACCATGCTGCAGACAAGGCCAAGGTATCCAGCTGCCAAGTGATCGTGCACTGCTTGGCAGGGATCTCCCGATCAGCCACCATTGCCATCGCCTACATCATGAAGACCATGGGCATGTCTTCAGACGACGCCTACAGGTAGGTGCGAGTGGATGAGGGGAATGAGGAAGTACGTGAATGTACCCCTGCTCTAGTAAAGGGAAGCAGGCTGGTGCAGGCGGAGAGAAGCTGTCAGAAAGGGTTTCAAAGCATTGCTTTGAATGAATTTTCTGAGTGCTAGTGGGTTACACGCTGCTAGGCTGACACTGGGCCCTGGATGGGGTATAGGCTTTGTGCCCGTGCACATCCCTCATTGTTGCCCCAGTCAAAGGAAATGAAGGGCTCAGATTCAAGAAGCAAAACCCTTGACTAGGGTGAAATCTGGTGTAGGCTGGCCTAGCAGCAGGTTGGTGCTGCCCTACATCCATGGGAGGCGGAGGGCTGTCCTTCAGGAGCAGTTTTGAAATATCACAATGGACTGCATGCCATGGGAGTGGGGAGCTGCCCATGGGAAAGTAGAGTGAGGTGGTAAATTTCCTAGAGCCTAAACAGTCCTGGCTTTCTCTGCAGACTGCCCTGAGGCATTGTGGATCGCTCATCACCTGTTTCTTTCTGAGCTTTTGGTAGAATGCACTAGCTTCTCCCGCTGAAGAGGCCGGCAGAGCTAAGGTAGCCTAGCTGGTGGGCCAAAGACCAAGTGACGACCCCATCTGTTTGTCTACCCTTGCAGGTTTGTCAAAGACCGGCGCCCATCCATATCGCCCAACTTCAACTTCCTGGGCCAGCTCCTGGAGTACGAGAGGAGCCTGAAGCTCCTCAAGGCCTTGAAGGCCCAAGGTGATAGGAGTGAGGGGGATGCCCAGCCAGACCCGGCTGAAGCGCCTGAGAGCAACAGGCACCTGAAGCTTTCTACCTCAGAAAAGGCCGAGGACATATCGAAAAGCACAAGCTTGGCACCCTCCCGCAGTGAGCCAGCAGGCGCTCCCAAAATTGTCTCACCCACAGCACTACAGCAAGGACTCAACGGCCTACACCTGTCCTCGGAGCGCATCCAAGACACCAACCGCCTAAAGCGCTCCTTCTCCCTGGACATCAAATCAGCCTACTGCCCCGGCCTGAGGCAGGACACCCCAGGCCCCGCTGACACCGGGGAAGCCCCCAAACTTTGCAAGCTGGACAGCCCTTCTGGACCTAACGGCTTGTGCCAGTTCTCGCCTGTGCCGGATAGTCCCGACTGGCCCAGTGGGCCGGACTTCCTGCTAGAAGCCAAGGTGAGGCAGAGGCGGAAACATAGGCATCAGGCGGGCTCCCCTGCCCACGGGATGAGCCTCAATTTCAGCGGGGTGTGTGCCATGCACAAAAGCACCAGTGTGGAGGACAATCTCAAGCAGACACTGCGGCTGAGCCTCCCTGGTGTGGGACAGCAGCCCACACAGCCAGCTGCGACACCAAACTCGGCCGGCGGAGGGGGGGTAGGCGCCTGGGGGGTGCATTTGGAATCACCCAGCACCCCGTCGTCGGAGAACCCCTGGTACTTTGGCACAGACTCAGCGGTGGGCAGCGGCAGCGGCGGAGGGAGCGGGGCCTTGTTTGCCAGTGCTGCCTCGTACTCCTCGTTCAGCTGCAGCACCCTGCAGGGCAGCTGCGAGATCAGGTTGAGGGACAAGCAGAGGGTGGAGCAGAGGGACGGGCGGCACAGCTGGCACGAGGATGCCGCCGCGGAGAAGCAGTTCAAGAGGAGGAGCTGCCAGATGGAGTTCGAGGAGACCATGTCAGAGGGCAGGTCCCGGGAAGACCTGGGCAAAATAGGCAAACAGTCTAGCTTTTCGGGCAGCATGGAGATCATTGAGGTGTCCTGACATTCATCCTGGGGCATTGGAGAGTGAGGGGTGGATATTTAACTGGGAAGAGGCAAGGTGGGGGTGGGGGTAGGGACAGTATTTATACCCGTGTGTGTATTCGCAGGTGCACACACGCCAAAATGAAACAAAGATGAATGAATCCAAAGTCAGGAAACATGACTGTGCATGCTTAGTGCCCCTCCCCTTTGGTCTCTTTTTCCCCTCCCACCCTGGCTGCATTCCCTTTTGGGAGGGAGGAGCCTATTAAGCCTTTCACCCCTGGATTCTCTGCCCCCGGGGCAGAAAGTGACTCGCTGGGGTGATGAAAGAGCTGAACTTTGACTGAAGTGTGGGAGACGCTCATCACGTCTGAGCACCCCAGCTGGGTCATTCTCAGATTAAAATTCTGAGGGGGGTTTAATATTTTCTCTGCAAATGTGCAGTCAAAAAGTAGGGGTGTCTTCATTTAGAAGAGAGCGTTATCCTGACCAATGGGAAATGGCAGAGGCTTTGCTCACCCCAGCTCTCCGTCCCTTGTATCAGGGCGGGGAACGGAATGTAGGTGGCTCCCTCCCAAGGGTGGGGTGGGGATATTTGCATTGGCTCCTCCCCCTAAGCCTTTTTCTCATCCTGGTGCACTAAGCATGCTCTGTCTGTGTTTTTTCTGGCTAAGTATCTTAATAATGCTGCACTACCGCAGCCCTATACATATATAAATATATATTATATATAATATAAAAAAAAACCACACAAAGAAAAAGGTAAATGGTTTTACTGCAATTTTTATTGAGACGTAAATAATATTTCAATGGTTTTGTTTTTAATTTATTGAAGCTGTTCATTCTGGCAATGATTTGCAGACATTGTGGGGCGGTACTTTCAGCTCTATTTTTACTGTCTATGGTATTTAAATCTGAAACATGAGTTTCTAAGCAATATCCGCGGCCTGTGACTCCTTCTGTAGCGCACGTCAGCGACACGGACTCCCCATTCCCTGCGCGCAAAGCAAAAACGGGGCAGGAAAAATCTTTCATGCACTTTTTAAAAATGAAAACAAAACAAAACAAAAATATCTTCTTTCAACACAAACTGAGCAGGAAATTCTCTCCTGAAAGCTGCTGCTTTACCTTTTGGTTCCTATTTGATTCTCTCTTGTCTCCATCAAAGCCATAGAATCTTTCCCTCTCCCAGTTGTGGGACAGAAGGGCTGGCATTGGTCTATGGAAAAACCAGGGGGGAAGGGAGAGACTATGAAAAAAACAGAGGATTGGATCAGGGCTGCCTGGGATGTGGGGAATGAGGGAGGAGAGGAGGCTTTTCATTAAAGGGGCAGCAACCCATACTGGGTTGTATTGGAGAATTTGGGGGTTACTGGGTCCTTTTGGAGAAAAACTTACTCCCTAGATAATGCTCAAGGGGTTCTGTGGGGGCTGAACTCCCATGAGCAACTGCCTTGCCCACTTGCTCAGGGTGCTTCTGGGGAGGAGGTGGGGGCTATAGTGTCCAGGAGAAAAAGGGAACACTTCTCACCCTTGTGCATGGGTGAAATTGTGATGAAAAGCCCTTGAGGCCCTGCTTTCCCCCTCCCAGTGTTACTCCACATGGCTGTCCAGAGGGGCTGAACCCTGGAGGAAAATACAGGCCTCATCCTTAGGAACAAATGGAGTTATTTATTGTAGTACCAGAATGAACCCCAGGGGGTCCTGAGAACAGCAACAGGTTTCCCACTGCGAGATAGTTAGTTACCTCTGAGTGCTTAGCATAAAATATTGCTCAGTACTCCAGCACCAGTTCTCTACCCATGTGTGTGTAAGAGAGCATGATCATGGGGCATATCCAGCACTGGGGCTCCAGTGGGCGTGCAAGTGACATGGGGCAGAGGGAAAACAGTCCAAAGACACAGGCGAAGCCAATGAAAGACCAAACTGAATGGGCACTTCAGGAAGGGAAAAGAGAGAGAGGAAACGCCAGGAAATGCATTGAAAGGCTAAGAACCAAACCCAATATTTGGGATGTTAGTGTGAGGACAAGCCCCTCCCTCCTTACCCCACCCCCATCTCCTATCTCCAAACCCACCCACCCACCTGCAGCAGCATCTTCCCACACTCAGGTGTGTTGCTAAGAAGATTGGTTTCACTGTTTTTCTTTTCCTGGGTTTTTTCTTTTCCTGGGATTTTGCTTCGGAGAGTTTCTGTTAATTGACCTTTTCAGAGTAACTGAAGCGAATGATGGTTCGTTCTTACCCAGCAGAGGGCAGGGTGCCAGCCTCCAAGGGAATCCCTGCCAAAAACCCGTCTCCCTCTGGGAGTTCAGGTGGGTAAAGGGTGAGGATTTCCTAGGGAAGGCCTCCTGCGTGGGATTCTTCCCTTGATTTATTTTTTTTAGAGGTGGCGTAGGGCCCAGGTGGGACCTTTACGATAACACAGGTGTTGAGGAAGGGCCAGGTCCTGCTGTTACTGAAGCCAAGGGTGCAAGAGGTAGCCCTCAAGGAGGCCAATGAGCACACAGTGCAGAAAGCTTCCATAAGTTAGCAAGCGCAGTCAAGAGAAAAATGACAAAGGGGCGTGAGTGGCTTCTGTTCTGATTCTCAGACACATTTGGCTGCTTCTCCCCTTTATGAAAGTCCCTGTTTTAAAGGGGAGCAAAGCCCTCACCCCAAAAACTGTGTTTCTCCCACGCAGCGGGATGCTTAGACCTTGCTGCTGAGCTGCTGCTTGGTGTTATGGGCACAGATCTATCTCTGCTGCAAAGCACATTTCGCTCTCTGTAGCTTTCCTCTTTTTAGTATCGTGCTGGTTTCCAAGCCAATACCTCAGGGGTTTTTGTTCATGTGTGTGTTGTGTGTGATTTTAGATCCCCTCAGCTCTTTTTTTTTTTTTCCACCTTCCCTTCTTTTTCTTTTGTGTTTGTTTATTTTCAAATCAAACTACACAAGACAAAAATAATGATCTCAGGTTTAAAACTTAACCACAGACCGAAGCCGTGAGGAGCTGCAATAATAATTATAATGTTCTGGTGGCATCAGATTGTCACTTTCCTTATGATCATTGTCTGTCTGCTGATGTGCGCGTGTCCTCGGCGGATGGGAGAGGGGAATCTCCAAGGAGGCTTATGACTGGCATTAGGCTTCTTGATTTTTTTTTTTAAAGGGGTTAAGTGAGAAGCATGGAAACCTCAAATAATCCCTTCTGGTACCCCAAAATGTGCTGGAGTTGGTAGTGGGGGAGGGGAAAGTTGGGTGATTAAATGCATTTGATTTTCCATGTTGAAGTATTAATAAAATACAAGTTTTGATGATGGTTGGATCCCTCTGCCTAACCCATCCCTCTTTTTCCTACAGCTGTTTTGAAAGGGGGGTAGATACTCATTTCAACTCTCTTAAAAAACACAGCATCCATATTTCCAGTTGAGCACCCCAAATCAGCATCAGTGTTGCCGACTACTATGTTTTAGGAGGTAGAAGGAACCCTTCCCGTTTCTTTCTTGCATCCCCATCCAGCGTAGAGATATGGTGTGTGGAGATAGTGGGGAGGCGGTGATTCTAAGGGAACTGGTGTATTACATAGCATCCCGGCTAGATCGGGAGGTTTATAACAAAGAAAAGCTTTCAAAGGGCTTCTTGAGCTTTTAACCACTGAGACCCCACTAACCACTGCCTGCAATATGACCTGTCTCATGTTTTAACCCTTTTTGGGCTGCCAATCTTCTTCTTTCTCACTCTGTCTGTGCTGCATTTTCAGTGAAATTTGAAAAATTCCAGCCAGCCCTAGAGCTGGTCACAAAAAAGAGAACAAATGTTTGTCTACATTTTTTTCCCCCTTTTTAAATTTCAACATATAAATTCAGAGATTCTCAGCCAAGCCAGGTCAATTGGCTGGTCAGCCCCAGACAGCAAGAGGTTACACTGTGAAATATGCCAGCAGGACAGTGTTTCCATGTTCACATCTTACCTATGTTCCATAAGCCTAGTACAGGATCATGCACCACAAATGGAGAATCCCCATTTGTATCCTTGTTGCATTCCACCTGACCTGAAAGCATATACAGAAGTGTCTCCATAGAGAACACACAGCTTCTTAGACCATTTCAACAGTATCGATCAGCATTCCTAAAGGATACTTGCCTTATGACAAGGGGAAGAGCCATCCAGCTGCTTAGCAGCAGTAAATGACTCACTCTTGTTCTGCAAGTCACACGGACATCTGTTCATGTAGGGTCTCCCCTTGATCTTCCGAGGGTTGGTGCACTAGAACTGGAGTTAGTACAGAGACCTCTTCAGCTGTGAAGTTCATGATAGTTTCCCCTCCATGACATGTGACCCAGCTGCACTGCCGTGCAGAGGGAGGAGCTAATGAGGGTGCCTCCAGGTAACCCCTCACTCCCATTCACATATTGTCCCTTCCACCACAGCTGGCATTCCATGGCTGCCAGCACCAGCTCAGCCTGGAGTTGCTGTCTCCCATGTCTTAACCCTACAGCGTTAGAGAGAATTAAGAGTTTCCTTTGCCTGTTGCGGTGGGTCTTGCCACCACTGCTAGCATTGGTCCAGCCCCACTCATGGTAGCTATAGTGGAGTTCTAGAGTAGATAAGGCACTGGCATTTTTACCACTATGATCTCAAGACTTGGGTGGACTTGGATGACACAGTGGTACACAGGATCCTACTCTACATTATTACACCCCAGCACTAATACCACTATTAGAGCTGCAATGTTAGGAAATTTGGGGGTTAAAAATATAGTGTAGATGCAACCTAATGACAGACATGACATGAGATGTGATGGGGCTCAACCCCTTAGTCCTGCATGAAGTCACTGCAGAGTATGCTCTAGGACACATCCGGGCCATCCTCAGCCTGACATTGCAATCTCAACCTTTATAAATACGAACAACAAGCAGACAGCGTCAGTGAAGAAGAACGACATGAGCAGCTGCCTGCTCAGAAATAGCAGCAGGGCTCTGAACATCTGCCATCTTGTGGCATTTTAGAGAAACAGCTATTGTGGTGCATGCAAAAATGGGGGTCTCTTGTTTTTTTGTCTAGTCTCCCTCAAAGAACCGTAGACTGTCAGCAAAGCCCT